AGTCACTTTTTGTTACTTTCCATTTTTGAATAATATGTATTATATAGACAAAAAATCTTTATCTTTGTTTAATCAATTAAACCAGTCGAAAAAATTAAATATGATAGATAGGTAGGCTGACTTGCTTTCCTACATTAGGTAAATATAATTTGCTAAACGAAAAATTATCATGCAGTATCACTTTATATAACTCGATAATTATTTTTTAGGAGTGATACCTTAAATTTCTTCCATGGGTGATATGGCAGGGGTGTATCACGCTTAACACGTATTATATATCTCTGCTGAAAAAAAGTTAACAATAAATATTTATTCACTCTAAAGTTCTTGCCATGAATGATGAGTAGCTCGAATAAGACTATTTAATAAATTATTTCGTTCTAATCAAGTCTGCAAAGCAGGAAACTCTGTGTCTGAATTTAATGTAATATGGTTAATAAACTCAGAAATAAATCTGTTTTTATCCAATATATCAGTAAAGGTTGGAATAAGTGGAGGTGGGTCCTCACTCTGTGAGTTGATATTTGAATCAAAATCTGAAGTATCATTATCAGAATCTGAAGTATCATCATTAGAATCCGAAGTATCATCATCAGAATCTGAAGTATCATTATCAGAATCTGAAGTATCATCATCAGAATCTGAAGTATCATCATCGGAAGTATTGGAGTTAGATTCAGAATCAGACCATTCATATGTTGAATCGTAATTTTCAATATGTATACTTGGATTAAGCTGTTTCACGAGCTTTTCACTAATATTTTCACAACCTTCCAAATCAAGGAACTTTAAATTAAGATATGAACATACCATTTCTCTGATAGTTTCGTTGGAAATATTGCAGTATCCGAGATTGAGGTGTTAGAGTTTAGAACAAAATCAGATAAATTCATTAATAACTGATTCAGGAATAAAATCGCAGGTGGAAATATCAAGGTGTTCTATATTACTATCTGAATAAATACCTAGTTTGGTAATCTGACAACCTGATATATTAAGATACTTGAGTTTCTGGTAATGATAAATAATATCACAAATGTATTCATCAGATATACTACATCCGAAGACATCAAGATATTCTAGATTTTGACAAGAGTGAACAATTGCTTTAAGGTCAGTGATATTTGGACAACCCGAAATTGTGAGACGTTTTAATTTTGAACATGACCTTCCTAATTCATTTATTGTCTAATTAGTAATACTTTTGGAACCATGAAAATGGAATTCTTCCAAGTTATGACATGATTGTAGTATCGTACTGATAGATTTATCTGAAAGTTGATAGCTATATATTCTAAAGTATTTTAAATTATGACACTTATCTGAAACTCTACATATAGATGCATCAGTAAGTAAATCATTATTACGGATATTAAAATATTCTAAGTTTGGATATGTATCTGCAATCTTAATTAATGCTTTATTACTAAAACGACAGTCTTTAAGGTCGAGATAGATTATATTTGAACAAGCTTCTACAATCTTTTCAACCTCTTTAGTTGTAAGAGAATAATATGCGAATGAGAGATATCTTAAATTTACACAATAATATGGTCTTTTTTCTTCACATATTACTCTTAAGAATTTGGCTTGCAGTACATCACATCTTTTTAATTTAATTCTTCTCCATAATAGCGGTATGTCACACTTATACCAAAGACGATTAACAAATAAAGCAGGATAGAGGGATCGATCGATTTCTAAAAAATATAAGATCTGTTCTAGCAATTCTGATAAATTAAAAATATTTGATTGCGCCATTCTTAAGTTGTATATTATATCTTTAATCGAAAAAACAGATACAGAATGGTCGGATAATTACACATTCTCTTACTTATCTGACAAGTCTTTCCAATGCGCTTAACCTCTCTACTAGCTCATTCAATGGAAGCTCTAATCTGCATCTTCTGGCTTCCATCTGATTATCAGGTGACAATTCACGAAGAAAGAAATATCTAAGCCGTTCTTCATTATATCTGACTAATTTACCACATTTTTCTACCTTTGCAGAATAGTCCATTACTGATTCATTTCCTTGATCCAATTCTCCAAATCGGAATTTTTGAATATCAGTAGGCCCTGTTGAAATAGCAGAGCTAGTGTCTCGACACATAAATTTTAAATGCTCAATTATTTCATTCAGAGAATTTTTAAACCCGAATCAAATTACTTCTTTTTTATTTTCTCGTGATAGACCATTGAAGAAAGTTCCCTTAAGGTCTTGATTATTTAAGTTGATACCTAATGATGTGGCATTTACCTTTATCGTCTTGACATATTCATCCACGAACTGATTGAGTTGTGTAGGTGGCAGAATTCCTGATACAATAACTAATGGTATAGCAGTTCTATCAAGGAGTGTAAGAATTTTAAACCATGGTTGACCCAATATCAGTGCATGTTTAGAACTATTAACAACAAAAATATCCGTAACTTTTACTTGTTTCCATTTAGAGTCTTGAGATGGTATTGAAATCTCTATTTCGTGAATCACCTCTACTACATCGAACTTGCTAATGGAATTGTATACTTTTACATTAGAGTTATCATTGGTTTTTAAACCTAACCCATTTACTACCTCCTTACCTATAATATTACAATTAGCACCGGAATCTAATATAGCTATAACTGGTACTTTACTGATTTCGCAAGATAAAGTTATCATTGTGATTCTATATTTAATAATATATTCAATAATGTATTTTTTACTTCGTATTAATAAAAATTAATTTAAAATATACAATGGTCAAAGCTAATAACAATATTGAGTCAGTTTATCAAAATTTATTGCAAAGCCATGACCCAAAGGGTCTACAAGAGAATACTGATAAAATCGTATCGCTAATAGAATCAATGAAAAAATTATCAATAGCAGACCTAGCGGTTCGTGATCCTGGTTCCGAATCGGAATCTGATTCTGAGAATGGCTTATCTGAGATTGAAATCGTGAAAATTATCAGCACTACCAAAGAAGAAAAGTTGGGCTTGAAAATAGATGAAATCTCATCTCGAATTAACGATATGATAGTGATAGATCTTGTCAGACAAGTACTATATAAAGAAATTCGAATATCTCTCCATGAATTATTGAAGATAGTGAAACCCGAGGTTCGACAAGATATTATAAATTCGATAGCAAACCCAGATATTACTAAAAAACGTAAGATACCATGTAAAGGTAAAAGACGATGTAAAGTTAATAAGACTTTTTTAAACGATTCTCCGTCTTCATCCGAATCTGGATCTGGACTCTGAATCTGATATTGAGATCAGTGAATAGGTATCAGCGGAGCTGGCATGAAGTGCCAAAAGTATAGAAGCGTGATTAGTCTTCATCATCAGAATTTTCTCCATATAAATCAATAATACTCGATACTTCATCATAGCCTTGTTTAATCGTAGGGGAAATTGACCTAGGTGTTGGAATATTCGGTCTGTTATTCATCATACCATAATGATCCGATGCAATATTAATTACCTTCTGCCTTAATGCTAATTGACGGAGACGTTTACGTTTGGAATCATTCTTATTCCCATGAATATCAATAGTATGATCAGATCTGATTTTTTTCAAATATAATGAGCTTATTCTATAAATAGATAGGAAATTATTAATAGGGTGAATATTTACATCACCATCTTTATCTCTTATTAAAAATGAGAATTCATTAGGAATTGCTTTCTGAACCCAAATGAGTAATTCCCTGGCCCATAATGGATCTTTCTCCATAGATATTAATGGTCTAAGTTCGTCTTTTGCATTTTTTGCATAACCAGTGCAGTACCAAGAATATTTAGATTTATATCAATCAGCATTAGATGGTTTATAGTAATCAATACAAAAATTTGTAACATCTGCTGGCCTCATAGATAACATTATCATTACGTCTATTAAATTTTGCATAGAGGGTGATTTTGTTATACCATACTTACTAAGTCTTTCCTGAACATTTTCAAGATAAAAGAATTCAGGATAATTTAATCCCTCGTCTTCACGAAATTCCTGGTTTATCACTTGTTCTTTATTTGATTTTCAAGTAATATTTGGTACATATATTACTTCTATTGTAATAAAATTAGCATCAAGTATACGCAATTCTTTTTGAAGCAATTTAAGACGTGAAGATCGAGCTATCGTGCTGCTGGCTGTTTTAGCTAAATTATATGCTAGTGCATTTATCTCTTCGGGCTCGAGATTATCTTCATTTTCCTTGATATATTGAGCAAGGCTTTTAACTGGATTTCACCCTGTAACACGTCTTCCGGAAGCCTGAATAGGAATCAAAGTATATGTTTGATCTCTACTAAACCCTAACTTCTGAATTCTATTTCGAGTATAATTACGAGCTTTATAATCTTTTAAATCTTTACATATTTTTTCAGCATAATTACCAAGCTCAGCTATACTCATCTGAGGAGTTAAGTTATACTGATTTACGAAATTTGTTGCAACTTTTGACATTGTCAATTGGAATATTTGCGTGAACTATAACTATTGAATATATTTTTTCAAATCGAAATTATTTATCTCAGGTCAGTATAGCTATGCTCAAAATTGAATGGGCCGTGGTTAATGTAATTCTATCGGAAAATGGATGTGAGTAAGACACGAGCTTGACTAAAGATTACGGAATCCATAGCTCTGTGAAATAAGATTGCGCAAAATATAGCAGGCATTAAAGAGGATATAGCATTGCTTAAGGAGATCCTCGAAAAAATAATTGATATATGCCAGGTACATGGTACACGCCAATGCCTTGGGTCAGATCTGTCGATTTGAAATCTTGCTTACATATAGAATATAACAAAAAAATTAATCTCAAGTGTGACGACTCAGGTTATAATGATTGGACACTATGTTTTTATTTTTTTATCACAGTGTTCGAGCTATAGCGAGTATATGTTCTGAACCTAGAATGTCTGCTTTACTGAATGCATCATACAAGGCATTTGGTCTATATTTCGATGGAGTTAAATTTGGGTGATGGAGAAATTTCATGAGGATATTATCTCGCCATTCTCTTGTTTCTCTACGGTTCTAACAAAATTTTAACAAATTACATATAACGAATTCATTATAGTTTACTTTGAGTAGAATTTCTAATAAACTTAGTCTTCCACTGATTAGTGTAAGTAAGCCTTTTTCCGCAACAATATCTCAAATCTTATTAGATGCAAAAGACAGACATTTTCTTAATATTATCATTTCATTAAATGGCGGGATCAAAAGTCTTTCCTCTTTTCAATGTATATAACCACCACGTATTAATTGATTATATGCTGGCCCATTGATTGCAATCATACGATTAGTTTTTGGGTTATATATTTTTGGCTTTCCTGAACGTCTAGACAATTTGGATAACTGCTCAGCAGTAACCGTTTCTTTGTTATATTCTGGCTCTTGGGTGTATAATTTATATATTTTTGTATAGTAGTGGTATATAGTATCAATATATATTCGATTATGTTGTTACAATATAGTTTGAAAAGGTTTAAATTGATTTTTATATTCATGAAATACGGGTGAAGAAAAACATTTTAGTAAATATACAGGATTTTATGGAATTTGAGAGGTTATAAGCAATACTTCGAATATAATATACCATTATAATCTAAAAAGATTTAAATTGGGTTTATATTAAATATATTTACATAAAAAGTGAAATGGGTTTTATACTTTATATATTAAAACGATTTGAATGGGAAATTCAACCGGTCAATATATTAAAAGGGATGATTCTGGGTATTCAACCTGTTAAAACGTTAAAAGAGATAGTTCGAGGTGGACAACCTGTCCATATATTAAAAGAGATGGTTCGATTTGTGAAAAAAGTTGTTGGCAAGACATAGGGTGTTCGTTGCACTGAAAATTATATGATAGGAATATGGCAAAAGTTCCTTGTAGGATCTGTGAAAAACGAATAAGTTCTGATATAGGGTATTGTCTTAAACACGCGAAGAAGATTTATTTTCAAAATTGGTATGAGAGACAAAAGGCGCAGAGAATAGAAGCGGATGAATAATTGCATAGATTTCGATTTTAAGCGTCACAAAAATGGTGTTATCGATAGGGTATTTTTTATGTCCTGGCATAAGCTCCGCTCTACAAGTATTATTTTTAAACATCACAAAAACCCCCTTTGTAAGGTATATCATGAATCATTTCATTGGATAGACATACATTTTAACAGATATCAAATAGGTCCTGTGTATCTTGTGAGATAGAATTGGGAGAGGGTTCTAATTCATCAGGTGAGAGTTTACTATATTCATATTGGATATCCTCACCACTTTCGTAAAAGGGTCCTTCACCCGTTTGATATAGTGATAATTTGGGAGCGTCCTTATTGTCAAATGCTCCAACTAGATGGTAATGTGTATTTTTATTATTAGTAATCTTAAACTTTATCCCATAGATTGCAAAAAGTCATCAGTAATTATATTAATTTGAAAACCTTCGAAATTATATCGCAACGTTAGATTTCGAAGGTTATCGATTATGTCGCAACCCTTCGAAATCAAAATTTAATGGTTAAATTTCGATACGTAATATTTCGTTATCAAAAACCTTCAAAGT